AGTGTCTCCTAAAGACTCATCTGTTCCATTTGTACTTTTAAAGTGACCTTGTACTGCTACTAGTTTTTAGTTCTTTTCCTTGACTCTTGTATGCGCTATGAGCACGCCCCAGTGGAGTTTGGCGCCATATAAATGGACATTATTATTATTATTATTATTAATTATCTTTAGGATGTCTTTCACAACAGATATGTGACCTCCTTCACATGCCAACATCAGACCCATTCCTGGTGTCCGACAGTCAGTGTTCAATCTATCAGTAAGGGTCAGATCTGCGCCCTCAGATACAAGGAGATGATAAACATCATAGTGTCCACTTTCCAATGCCATCATTATTGGTGTTTGGTTTGAGTATCCTCTCCGTCTGTTGATGTCACATGTTTTCATTGATAGGATGTGTTTCACAATAGATATGTTACCTCCTTTACATGCCAACATCAGACAGTCAGTGTTGTCTTCATCAGTAAGGGTCAGATCTGCGCCCTCAGATACAAGGAGATGATAAACATCATAGTGTCTTCCTTTCAATGCCATCATTATTGGTGTTTGGTTAAAGTATCCTGCCCGTCTGTTGATGTCCCATGTTTTCATTGATAGGATGTGTTTCACAATAGATTTGTTACCTCCTTGGCATGCAAACATCAGACAGTCAGTGTTGTATCTATCAGTAAGGGTCAGATCTGCGCCCTCAGATACAAGAAGATGATAAACATCATAGTGTCCACTTTCCAATGCCATCATTATTGGTGTTTTGTTTGAGTATCCTCTCCGTCTGTTGATGTCACTTGTTTTCATTGATAGGATGTGTTTCACAATAGATATGTTACCTCCTTCACATGCCAACATCAGACAGTCAAAGTTGATGCTATCAGTAACGGTCAGATCTGCGCCCTCAGATACAAGGAGATGATAAACATCATAGTGTCTTCCTTTCAATGCCATCATTATTGGTGTTTGGTTTGACTTTCCTCCCCGTCTGTTGATGTCCCATGTTTTCATTGATAGGATGTGTTTCACAATAGATATGTGACCTCCTTCACATGCCAACATCAGACCCATTCCTGGTGTCCGACAGTCAGTGTTCAATCTATCAGTAAGGGTCAGATCTGCGCCCTCAGATACAAGGAGATGATAAACATCATAGTGTCCACTTTCCAATGCTATCATTATTGGTGTTTGGTTTGACTTTCCTCCCCGTCTGTTGATGTCACATGTTTTCATTGATAGGATGTGTTTCACAATAGATATGTTACCTCCTTTGCATGCCAACATCAGACAGTCAGTGTTGTATCTATCAGTAAGGGTCAGATCTGCGCCCTCAGATACAAGGAGATGATAAACATCATAGTGTCTACTTTTCAATGCCATCATTATTGGTGTTTGTTTTGACCTTCCTCCCCGTCTGTTGATGTCACATGTTTCCATTGATAGGATATGTTTCACAATAGATATGTTACCTCCTTCACATGCCAACATCAGACAGTCAAAGTTGATGCTATCAGTAAGGGTCAGATCTGCGCCCTCAGATACAAGGAGATGATAAACATCATAGTGTCCACTTTCCAATGCTATCATTATTGGTGTTTGGTTTGACTTTCCTCCCCGTCTGTTGATGTCACATGTTTTCATTGATAGGATGTGTTTCACAATAGATATGTTACCTCCTTTGCATGCCAACATAAGACAGTCAGTGTAGTATCTATCAGTAAGGGTCAGATCTGCGCCCTCAGATACAAGGAGATGATAAACATCATAGTGTCTACTTTTCAATGCCATCATTATTGGTGTTTGTTTTGACCTTCCTCCCCGTCTGTTGATGTCACATGTTTTCATTGATAGGATGTGTTTCACAATAGATATGTTACCTCCTTTGCATGCCAACATCAGACAGTCAAAGTTGATGCTATCAGTAAGGGTCAGATCTGCGCCCTCAGATACAAGGAGATGATAAACATTATAGTGTCTTCCTTTCAATGCCATCATTATTGGTGTTTGGTTTGACTTTCCTCCCCGTCTGTTGATGTCCCATGTTTTCATTGATAGGATGTGTTTCACAATAGATTTGTTACCTCCTTTGCATGCAAACATCAGACAGTCAGTGTTGTATCTATCAGTAAGGGTCAGATCTGCGCCCTCAGATACAAGAAGATGATAAACATCATAGTGTCCACTTTCCAATGCTATCATTATTGGTGTTTGGTTTGAGTATCCTCTCCGTCTGTTGATGTCACTTGTTTTCATTGATAGGATGTGTTTCACAATAGATATGTTACCTCCTTCACATGCCAACATCAGACAGTCAGTGTTGTATCTATCAGTAAGGGTCAGATCTGCGCCCTCAGATACAAGGAGATGATAAACATCAAAGTGTCTACTTTTCAATGCCATCATTATTGGTGTTTGTTTTGACCTTCCTCCCCGTCTGTTGATGTCACATGTTTTCATTGATAGGATGTGTTTCACAATAGATATGTTACCTCCTTCACATGCCAACATCAGACAGTCAAAGTTGATGCTATCAGTAAGGGTCAGATCTGCGCCCTCAGATACAAGGAGATGATAAACATCATAGTGTCTTCCTTTCAATGCCATCATTATTGGTGTTTGGTTTGACTTTCCTCCCCGTCTGTTGATGTCCCATGTTTTCATTGATAGGATGTGTTTCACAATAGATTTGTTACCTCCTTGGCATGCAAACATCAGACAGTCAGTGTTGTATCTATCAGTAAGGGTCAGATCTGCGCCCTCAGATACAAGAAGATGATAAACATCATAGTGTCCACTTTCCAATGCCATCATTATTGGTGTTTGGTTTGAGTATCCTCTCCGTCTGTTGATGTCACTTGTTTTCATTGATAGGATGTGTTTCACAATAGATATGTTACCTCCTTCACATGCCAACATCAGACAGTCAAAGTTGATGCTATCAGTAAGGGTCAGATCTGCGCCCTCAGATACAAGGAGATGATAAACATCATAGTGTCCACTTTCCAATGCTATCATTATTGGTGTTTGGTTTGACTTTCCTCCCCGTCTGTTGATGTCCCATGTTTTCATTGATAGGATGTGTTTCACAATAGATATGTTACCTCCTTTGCATGCAAACATCAGACAGTCAGTGTTGTATCTATCAGTAAGGGTCAGATCTGCGCCCTCAGATACAAGGAGATGATAAACATCATAGTGTCTACTTTTCAATGCCATCATTATTGGTGTTTGTTTTGACCTTCCTCCCCGTCTGTTGATGTCACATGTTTCCATTGATAGGATGTGTTTCACAATAGATATGTTACCTCCTTCACATGCCAACATCAGACAGTCAAAGTTGATGCTATCAGTAAGGGTCAGATCTGCGCCCTCAGATACAAGGAGATGATAAACATCATAGTGTCCACTTTCCAATGCCATCATTATTGGTGTTTGGTTTGAGTATCCTCTCCGTCTGTTGATGTCACTTGTTTTCATTGATAGGATGTGTTTCACAATAGATATGTTACCTCCTTCACATGCCAACATCAGACAGTCAAAGTTGATGCTATCAGTAAGGGTCAGATCTGCGCCCTCAGATACAAGGAGATGATAAACATCATAGTGTCCACTTTCTTCTGCCATCATTATTGGTGTTTGGTTAAAGTATCCTCCCCGTCTGTTGATGTCACATGTTTTCATTGATAGGATGTGTTTCACAATAGATATGTTACCTCCTTGCCATGCAAACATCAGACAGTCAGTGTTGTATCTATCAGTAAGGGTCAGATCTGCGCCCTCAGATACAAGGAGATGATAAACATCATAGTGTCCACTTTCCAATGCCATCATTATTGGTGTTTTGTTTGAGTATCCTCTCCGTCTGTTGATGTCACTTGTTTTCATTGATAGGATGTGTTTCACAATAGATATGTTACCTCCTTCACATGCCAACATCAGACAGTCAAAGTTGATGCTATCGGTAAGGGTCAGATCTGCGCCCTCAGATACAAGGAGATGATAAACATCATAGTGTCCACTTTCCAATGCTATCATTATTGGTGTTTGGTTTGACTTTCCTCCCCGTCTGTTGATGTCCCATGTTTTCATTGATAGGATGTGTTTCACAATAGATATGTTACCTCCTTCACATGCCAACATAAGACAGTCAGTGTCGTCTCCATCAGTAAGGGTCAGATCTACGCCCTCAGATACAAGAAGATGATAAACATCATAGTGTCCACTTTCCAATGCCATCATTATTGGTGTTTGGTTTGACTTTCCTCCCCGTCTGTTGATGTCCCATGTTTTCATTGATAGGATGTGTTTCACAATAGATATGTTACCTCCTTCACATGCCAACATAAGACAGTCAGTGTCGTCTCCATCAGTAAGTGTCAGATCTGCGCCCTCAGATACAAGGAAATGATAAACATCATAGTGTCCTCCTTCTAATGCCATCATTATTGGTGTTTGGTTAAAGTATCCTCCCCGTCTGTTGATGTCCCATGTTTTCATTGATAGGATGTGTTTCACAATAGATATGTTACCTCCTTCACATGCCAACATAAGACAGTCAGTGTCGTCTCCATCAGTAAGTGTCAGATCTGCGCCCTCAGATACAAGAAGATGATAAACATCATAGTGTCCCCTTTCTACTGCCATCATTATTGGTGTTTGGTTTGAGTATCCTCCCCGTCTGTTGATGTCACATGTTTTCATTGATAGGATGTGTTTCACAATAGATATGTTACCTCTTTCACATGCCAACATCAGACAGTCAGTGTTGAATATGTCAGTGAGGGTTAGATCTGCGCCCTCAGATACAAGGAGATGATAAACATCATAGTGTCCACCTTCCGCGGCAAACATAGCTGGTGTTTTCTTCAATTCGCTATCCTTCTTGCTTACATTATATATTTTCAATGAAATTAAGAAGTTCACAGTTGACAGGTTGCCATTTTGACTTGACAAATGCAAACAGTCTTTCCCGCGTGTACATGTTAAATCGGCTCCTTTTTCTTTGAGGAACTTCAGAATATTGAGCTGACCTGTTTTTGCACAAATCATTGCAGGCGTTAAATTCTCATGATTCATCAAATTAATCAATGCAGGGCATGTTTCCACCACCTTCGTTGTCAATGCCATATTTCCTGATTTACAGGCATAATGCAAACAGGTGTTTCCTTTCCAGTCCCTCACTGAAATGTCAGCACCTTTCTGTATGAGAAAGTTGAACACCTTGGATTTTGGTGACTTTGCAGCCATGAGAAGGAGGGTTGTCCCATCGATGGTATATTCAACATTAAATCCTCCATGTTTACCCATAACTCTAACGAGGTGTTCCAGGTGTTTCAGTTTGTCATGGGTAACACAGGCTACAACAAATGCATACAGATCAGGTGCTCTGTCACCCAGTCTCACAGCAACTTCTAAAGACTTGGAGAATAGAAAGTAACTGTCAGAGAGGGAGGCCAAATGCAAAAAGCTTTCACCAGTGTCCATATCCCTTCGCAGGACAGTCTCAGCTATGTTATCATTGATCTCTGTCCAAAGCAGAGAAGCAATGCTTTCATCACGGAGAACTAAGTGTTTTACTGTCCAAATGAAGCATCCTTGTCGGATACCTTCCACCAATCTGTTCACTACTGTTGGGTGTAGTTGGGGAGTGATGGAGATCATGTTTGTGACATCGTCCATGCCTGTTGACTCAGAACTCTTATCCAGTCTCACCCTTTCATACAAGAATTTCAGGGAGCAGTGTCCCAGCAGCAACACGATATTGAGATGTCCTACAGCACAGGCAGCAGCATCGTATATGGAGGGGTGGGAGAAAGATGCCATGTGATCCTCGACTGTACAGTAGATCCCAGTAAAGTTGTGGATCTCATTGGCAACGCCTGTCCTTGTACAACAAGGAACTACTTCCTTCACAGCGTCAAACATTACATGTCCAGCTTTCCGTGACTGCAAAGAAACAAGATTCAGTTTCCCATCAGACAGGATGAGGATGATGATTGCTGCCGATCTATTGCTTCCCTCCCGGACAATGGTGTCAAGGTCGCCTCTCAGGTAGGTCAGTGGATGGTTGAAGAATTGCAGGTTGTGCATCTGGAAGACAGCATTGGTAAAAAACAGTCTGCCGATAAGAGGAAATCCAAATATGTTGTGTTTTGAATCTGCGATGATACAAATATCTTTTTCAGAGATATCGCATGCAGGGTGTTTGGACTTGTAGGAACATAACATACGTTTCTTTTCTTCCATCGTGAGACAGTCTTTAGCCATATCAAGAACAGCTTCTGTTGTAAGCAGATCCACCTTGTACTGATGTAGCCTGGAACATCCTTCCTTCCAGTTGTATGTCCTGGATGTGAACACAAGCTTCAGTCTGTAGACAGGGATTTCTTCATTAGATTTGTCTTTCTGCTTTGATTGTTCTTCCTTCTTCTTCTTTGAAACCTCTATATCTGCAGCTGTTTTAGTACGATCATCAACTAAAGCACTAAACAATTGATGCAGTTTTTCCAAATTTGAAATGAATGTAATAGAGCCAAATATATCATCAAAAACAACCAACATGTGTGATTGTCGTTTTGAAATTGTATCAACATCAAAGTGTTCAATGTGTTCCACAAAGACTGTTTCATATTCCTGTTGCTGATATGCCTCACAGATCATCAGAGCAATGCTGGTCTTCCCATCCCCCGGGGCTCCACAGATGCTGACATGACCATGCTTCTCAAGGAGTTGTTTGGCTGTCTGGAGGGCATGGATGTCCACAAAATACTTCTTTAGGAGTTCCATCTTTTGACGGAAACGTTCTGTGGGGAAAGGAAACTACAATTGGGTAACAGTTCATGCGGTTGGTGTTTGGATCTGATGCTGTCAATTCATACAAGCATACACGTAAACGTAACAATTTCCATCTTTAAGCTCACCACAGAGGATGAAAGTATGGACTTGCACGCATTTATCTTAACTGCTCCATAATGAAAATACTGTCAATATTTTAGATCAACTGTTCATTGTTCGGAACATCCATTATGTCTGAACAATTATTTCTGAGATAAAACCTGAGAACCAATCCCCAGTTAATTTGGGAAGACTGTTTCAAACATGTTTGAGCAGCTACATAAGGGATCAAAAACAGCACTCAAGATCGAGATGCGATTGTCGCCATTGTCCTCTTTATCAAATTATCAGTATGTTTGTGCATCATCTCACCTTGGGACAGACATCCTTTACTTCCTTGCTCCCCGACGGAGACGGAGACATTGGAAGCATTGGTCAAGTCCACCTGAGACACTGGGCCACCTGCAACAGAACAAGATAACCTCTGGTCTCAATATTCACGTCATACCCATCCGGTCAAGGAACCATAAACATAAATTTAAACCAATTATTTCATTTGGTAATACTCCTGCTTATCTAACTGCATGCATGACTTGAATGAATGAAATGCTCACTGTAGTTCTGCTGTATGGCTGAGACAGAAGTGGGTTGTCTCCCTTCTTCATTCCTCCTCCGTACTTCAGCTGCTTCCTCAGTAAGCCATCTGGTCATGTGCTGGTCACGTGAGTCGGGAGTTCCCTCCATTGCTCACCGTTCTGAAAGTAAACTACACTTACTACACTATGACTCAGGACTTGATCAAGCTACAGTACATTCCACATGGGTCTGATCTTTCCAGTTTGAAAGAATTTCTCCAGCAGTTTATACAGTGCGGTTTAACAGATCAAGCAAGAAAGAATGCAACTGAAATTTGAAAGTTATATGCACTTCCAGTCTATTAGGCCCGACCTTCGTACTCAGTCAAAAGCTAAATGACCCCCTTTTGTGCAACATACAGTCTATATTTTGTTATTGTTTTGATTCCAGCAAGAGAACAGGTTCATGGTCCAGACAAAGGAACACACAGTATACCTGTATATAGTGAAACCTGTTCTCAGCTTATATACTGTGATGGCTATACTGATATGATAGCTGTGGTAGATAAGTTCATAGCAAAGACAGAAAGATATTCAGAAAGTTTTACTTGTCGTTGCCAGTCGTATTTGTTAACTGGTTTTTCAGCCTGACTGTTTTTCGAACGTGTGGATGATATTTTGAGTTTAACTATTTTTCTGTTTCATATATGTAGCCCCAAACCTCACAGGTACCCTGCCAGAAAGACTTTTTGCAGTGACTATACGTACGTACATTTGCACCTTTTGTGCAACATACAGTCTATAATTTGTTATTGTTTTGATTCCAGCAAGAGAGCAGGTTCATGGTCCAAATCTCATTGCAGAGGTTTTAAGTTTCTAACATTGCACAACATTGTGTTTCAGGTAAGACAGGTTTAATTCCAGAAAATATTCACCTACATCTATCACACCAAGTCCTCCGAATTCAAATCTTTTAAACGTGGTACTATTGTAACTGGCGATTAGGTCCCTGAATCTGAGGGTGTGGGTTCGAATCCCGGATGGGACTTAACCCAACAAAACTGCAAGAATCGGTACCTCACTAAGAAAGTGTAATTCCAAATATAACATTTGTTACGTCAGAAATACGCTCAAACCCATGTGCGTGCTTTTGAATCTCTCACCGTCTATGGCATTATCCTTACTAAAAACTACACAAAACAATTCTGTTACAAAGGCTCTTCGTACTTTCAGTATGATGATATATAAGCTTTAGAATGTGTTTAACAATCACATGATTCCATAAACGATTAAAGTACTCGGGAAAATCTTTATCAAAGCACCTTTTGTCGTATTTTCGCATATAACAAGCATCAAGAGGGGGATGAGGTCAATAGTCACATTATACAGTTATAGACTGGTGATGAGGTCAATGGCCACATTAAATAGTTATAGACTGGTGATGAGGTAAATAGCCACATTATACAGTTATAGACTGGTGATGAGGTCAATAGCAACATTATACAGTTATAGACTGCTGATGAGGTAAATAGCCACATCATACAGTTATAGACTGGTGATGAGGTCAATAGCCACATTATACAGTTATAGACTGGTGATGAGGACAATAGCAACATTACACAGTTATAGACTGCTGATGAGGTCAATAGCCACATTATACAGTTATAGACTGGTGATGAGGTCAATAGCCACATTATACAGTTATAGACTGGTGATGAGGTCAATAGCAACATTACACAGTTATAGACTGCTGATGAGGTAAATAGCCACATTATATAGTTATAGACTGGTGATGAGGTCAATGGCAACATTAAACAGTTACAGACTGGTGGTGAGGTCAATTGCCACATTATGCAGTTATAGTCTGGTGATGAGGTCAATAGCCACAATGAAGTTATAGCCTGGTGATGAGGCCAATAGCCAAATCATACAGTTATGGACTGGTGATAAGATCAAAAGCCACATTATACAGTTATAGACTGATGATGAGGTCAATAGCCACATTATGTAGTTATAGACTGGTGATTAGGACAATAGCTACATTATACAGTTATAGACTGGTGATGAGGTCAACAGCCATATTATGTAGTTATAGACTGGTGATGAGGACAATAGCCACATTACACAGTTATAGACTGCTGATGAGGTCAATAGCCACATTATACAGTTATAGACTGCTGATGAGGTCAATAGCCACATTATACAGTTGTAGACTGGTGATGAGGTCGATAGTCACATTATACAATTATAGACTGGTGATGAGGTCAATAGCCACATTATACAGTTATAGACTGCTGATGAGGTCAATAGCCACATTATACAGTTATAGACTGGTGATGAGGTCAATAGCCACATTATACAGTTATAGACTGCTGATGAGGTCAATAGCCACATTATACAGTTATAGACTGGTGATGAGGTCAATAGCCACATTATATAGTTATAGACTGGTGATGAGGTCAATAGCCACATTATACTGTTATAGACTGCTGATGAGGTAAATAGCCACATTATACAGTTATAGACTGGTGATGAGGTCAATAGCCACATTATACAGTTATAGACTGGTGATGAGGTCAATAACCACATTATACAGTTATAGACTGCTGATGAGGTCAATAGCAACGTTATGTAGTTATAGACTGGTGATGAGGACAATAGCCACATTACACAGTTATAGACTGGTGATGAGGTCAATAGCAACATTATACAGTTATAGACTGGTGAGTGAGGTAAATAGCCACTTTATACAGTTATAGACTGCTGATGAGGTCAATAGCCACATTATACAGTTATAGACTGGTGATGAGGTAAATAGCAACATTATACAGTTATAGACTGGTGTCTGAGGTAAATAGCCACAGTATACAGTTATAGACTGCCGATGAGGTCAATAGCCACATTATACAATTATAGACTGGTGATGAGGTAAATAGCCACATTATACAATTATAGACTGGTGATGAGGTCAATAGCAATATTATACAGTTATAGACTGGTGATGAGGTAAACAGCCACATTATACAGTTATAGACTGCTGATGAGGTCAATAGCCACATTATACAATTATAGACTGCTGATGAGGTCAATAGCCACATTATACAGTTATAGACTGGTGATGAGGTAAATAGCCACATTATACAGTTATAGACTGGTGATGAGGTCAATAGCAGCATTATACAGGTATAGACTGGTGATGAGGTAAATAGCCACATTATACAGTTATAGACTGCTGATGAGGACAATAGCCACATTATACAGTTATAGACTGGTGATGAGGTCAATAGCCACTTTATACAGTTATAGACTGGTGATGAGATCAATAGCCACATTTTACAGTTATAGACTGGTGATGAGGTCAATACCAATATTATACAGTTATAGACTGGTGATGAGGTAAATAGCCACATTATACAGTTATACACTGGTGATGAGGTCAATAGCCACATTATACAATTATAGACTGCTGATGAGGTCAATAGCCACATTATACAGTTATAGACTGGTGATGAGGTAAATAGCAACATTATACAGTTATAGACTGGTGATGAGGTCAATAGCCACATTATACAGTTATAGACTGCTGATGAGGACAATAGCCACATTATACAGTTATAGACTGCTGATGAGGTAAATAGCCACAGTATACAGTTATAGACTGGTGATGAGGTAAATAGCCACATTATATAGTTATAGACTGGTGATGAGGTCAATAGCCACATTATACAGTTATAGACTGGTGATGAGGTCAATAGCAACATTATACAGTTATAGACTGGTGATGAGGTAAATAGCCACATTATACAGTTATAGACTGGTGATGAGGTCAATAGCCACATTATACAATTATAGACTGCTGATGAGGTCAATAGCCACATTATACAGTTATAGACTGGTGATGAGGTCAATAGCCACATTATACAGTTATAGACTGGTGATGAGGTCAATAGCAACATTATACAGTTATAGACTGCTGATGAGGTCAATAGCCACATTATACAGTTATAGACTGCTGATGAGGACAATAGCCACATTATACAGTTATAGACTGCTGATGAGGTAAATAGCCACATTATACAGTTATAGACTGGTGATGAGGTAAATAGCCACATTATACAGTTATAGACTGGTGATGAGGTCAATAGCAACATTATACAGTTATAGACTGGTGATGAGGTAAATAGCCACAGTATACAGTTATAGACTGGTGATGAGGTAAATAGCCACATTATACAGTTATAGACTGCTGATGAGGTAAATAGCCACATTATACAGTTATAGACTGGTGATGAGGTAAATAGCCACATTATACAGTTATAGACTGGTGATGAGGTCAATAGCAACATTATACAGTTATAGACTGGTGATGAGGTAAATAGCCACTTTATACAGTTATAGACTGGTGATGAGGTAAATAGCCACATTATACAGAGTAGTAGACAGGATGGGGGTTTTGGATCAGGGTAATCTAAAGCTTCATTTAATAGATGAAGCCTTAGTCGGACCCTTCCTATTACCATCTACTACAAAGCTTTATTTCATAAAATAAAGACTTTGGTCGGACCCTTAGCTCTTGCTACTATAGGGTATCTTGCCTCTATGTCGTGTTGACGGGAGGTAATACTGTGTCATACGGTATCCTCTGCTTTTATTTTCACTTTATTTATGACACTATCTCACGTTGGCCTCGATGAAACAGTTTAACGTGAATCGCCTATGATCTCTTTGGTGTTCGTAATGAAAGCTTGCTGGGCCTTTCGTACCCCCTGTTCTATGTACTTTTTTTTCTCGTCTTCGCTGATAGCAGACTTACGAGACTTGGATCGAATCTCTTGTTTCATTTTGTCATATTTTGTGAGTTCAGAGAGGATTGAACGAAACTCCTCCTCTGAGATTTTATTGTCAGTGAGTGCGGTGGAAATACGCTCACTCACCGTGTTCAGCTTTGCTTCGGCCAGAACCCTGATTTCATCGTGTTTCAATGCTTTACGATGCAGTCTGCGGGATACAAGCTTAAGCCCCAATCCCAACACCCCTGTCACCCCAGCTGTTATTTCGAGCCCCATCACTATAGGTGCGGCCACGATGGTAGCTAACAACCCAACACCTGCCACCCCTAGGCCCATGCTGGCTGCCATAAGGGTAGTATCAGTCCCGTCCACAGCATTGAAAGCTCTATG